TGCCAGGTGGCCTCGGCCACGTGGGTTCGTGACGTAAGGGGTAAAAGAATCTTGAGGTCATGGGGCTTCCCCTGACCTGGATTCTATCTCTCCGTCACCGGCAGAATCGCTGATTAATGCCTACAGTTCAAAATAGTCATTTTGACTGACCGGAGTCTATGGTGGGTATGAACTATGTGAATAGGCGGGTTCAGAGAACCCTCGCCTAATTCCACAGAAATGTTAAATGATTAAAATAAATAAATATGATATGCTAAATCCAAATAAGACACACTTCTAGTAGTTTTCAAAAATCTGGATTGCTTGTTTAAGTACAAATTCATATTTGTTTATTACAGGCTGAAAATGAGAATACAATGTCACGGTTAGAATGGTGTTATCACAGATACTATACTGTTAGAGTTCAGTCTGGAGAAAATGACATAGCATCGTGAGTGTGAATACTTATTTATTGTATTGAAGTATCCCTTGTTAAAGATCCATGTTAGGTGGTCCAGTAATCCATTTCTAATAGAGTTTGAATACAGGTCTAAAACACAACTTACAACAACTTTGGTACAAATTTGATAAATCATATTGCCTTGATTATTGATGGATGCTGTATCTATTATGTGACCATGATTTATATGGGTCTTTCAGGTATTGTAACTCTCATCTAAAAGTTCTATCATTAGCTAAACAAATAGCCCATCTTGGAAAAAGTTATACAAGTATTGATCCTACTACAGCATGCTTGTTTATTTCATCTGCTCATGAACTACACATGTAATGAATACTCATGCACTGGTCTCAGTTTTTTTATGTTTATGTAATTTTATTTATTTTTCCATTTATCATACTGTATCCATGGATGATTCTGTCAAGTATTAAAATAAATACCCAAATACTTTTTAGATTATTGTCATTATCACCTAATAACCATGGAAATTGTCATCCACATTGTGTATTGTTACTTCTGTCCAGTTCATTCACTGCACATGCTTGCTTTTATCAGATTTGAAGATTTCTGTGCCAATTATATCCAAAACTGGTGGTTCAGAGTGAAAAAAGGGAAGCGAGTAACTCCGTCCAGATCATCATTTAAATCATCCAAGACTGTGCCACGAAGCATGAAAGCTGTGAGAATTTTGCAACGCCAGAGTTCACATCACAGTGCATCATCTAAAGCATCATCCAAAGCATCTACAGTGAAATCAGTGAAGAAAGTGAGAACTGAACCACTGGGTAGAATGGAAGCTGCTGTGATTATACAGAGAGGATGGAGGCGACATATTGTAAGTTTTATTAACATAACATGGATGTGAATGATACTGTGAAATACCACATGTATATCATACGTATATCTACAGTGAGATGTAATACAGAACAGAATATGTATACCACATAGATTAACGTCACATACTGCCAAACTTGTTTTCAATGTACGCATGGAATAAAATAAACAATTTGGCATCAAGAAAATTCATGGAAATATTTCATGTGTTATATATTTCTATAATTCCACGATATTTTCTCTAAAATTGATGTCAGCAGCCACTCATCAATATTGCTAGAGTATCTCATCAATCCTTGCTTGTGGTTCAGATTGTTACAAAACTCTGGCAGTAATCACACATCAAAAAATATTGTGGGATTATATATAAGTATTTGATAATACAAAGTTTGACTAATTTAAAATGACTTTAACACTTTTTAATGATACTGATACGTTATGGGTCTCATGGGATATATGATATGTGTTCCATGCGATATGTGATATAGGGTTATGCGATATATGAATGTACACAATATTTAAATAAAATGTCTTATATATCAAAAATATTTCTCTGTCGTAGGATGTTCAAGTTTATAAATATTATAGAGATTTAATCAATTTCCGTAACCGTGGTGATCCAGCAATGATGTTAAGATGTGTTAACCCTAAGGAAACCCCCCTGTTAGATGCAGCAAGTGGTGTACATGTGAAATTCAGACTTGCCGGGGTAAGTACATGTACTGTGGAATTTTGAACGAAAATTCAAGACCAACAACATAAGGCTTTAAAAGAGCTCTGCAAATGTAGGAAAATTCAATTTACAGTTGTTTTTTTTATATTACTTTTCATTCTCTAGATATTCAACTTTTCATTAGTATTATGTAGTCCACCATCTTGATTCTTCAGCAAAGGATTATGGGTAAAATATCACATCATATCCACTGTTGTGTGAAATTGAGAAAATGATTTCATTTATAACTTCAAAACTCAGAATTAGTTGAAAGTTCAAAACATGTTACCAGTGCCAACCATACATATAAAATAGTTGTCATGGCAACATAACTGAAAATATTCTTGTGTTTTTCCACCAAATGCTAAATTTTTTCTATATTTTATACATTATTTTTAATGAGAGAGGTTATACAGATTATATATAACTTGTTGGCTGCTAAAAGGGGACAATAAATTTGTCAGTTTATTTTTAATGACCAAAATAATTTTTATGTTTTTTACTTTTGTGTATCTGTAACAATCTAATTTCCATTATTATAATTATATACATGTCAGAGTTATATGCACACAGAAAATAACAAAAAAAATAACTGTATTTGCTCTGTTAGTAGTCCATGTGTTTACGTAAATGACTAAGCTGTGTCATATTTCAGTGATTTAGTATACAAGTACAACGTTATCGTACTATTGTGTATTTGCTTTTATGGTAATAGATTACATGTCCCCACTAAATGTGTGGTTTCAGGGTCAGCTGCTAACAAACAATAATCCACAGCCATTTTAATTGGGTATGGTATTTTATCATTTATTTGTCATGCTTTGGTTTATTTCTGCCTTTTTCAGTGCAGAGAAAATAAATACTACTTTTCTAACACATTGAAGCTGCCAAACCAGAAAGAGATATTGATGGAATGGCTGTATGTAATCCGTCTCTGTTAAATTTAGGCAGATGTCATGCACCAAGCTATTCTCCTTCCCAGAGTTCCTTGTGGTTAAATCACCGAAAGCATCTCTGCCACCACACACCGCCATTTTGTGGTGAAATGCCACAAAACTTTTACTACACGTATCATTTGCATATTTTTGTCATTAGAGGGATCATGTGTTGATTTATTCCTACGCCGGTACTGGTAAACAAGTTTCAAAATATGTTATCGATAGCTGATAATGATTTTTCAGTAAATGCACTGTCAAGGGTGAAGTAGTCATAATTTACAAAAGAAAATAATTTTATCGCGAAATAACAGTTACTTAAGTGTACGGTTCATTAAACTGACCGTCTTGTCACTTGCCAGACGAAGAAATGTAAAGAAACGAAAGCACTCAAGGGTATTGACGGCTAAATCATCCTACTGCCACACCGTTTGTGCTATGGAAAGAAAAAAAGGAGCTTGAAAACGGCCAGAATCTACAAACAACGCGTGCACATTCGTTGGGTTTGAAAATCTAACACTTGCATGGCAATGTTTTGGTGAGCGTCTTTGAAAGTAGTACCACTGTCACACATCTACCAATCACCGTCAAGCATGAGTTCTTGGGTGGCAGACATATATATACATAGAAATAGAACTCTGCCTTGGAGATTGGCACCAAGTGTCACTGCATTCAATTTGTACTGCTTCTTTATTAGGAGAGATTTCCACCAAATATATATTACAAGATATTTACACACAGACCAATACAAGATCTTTGTGCAAATAGTCCTAAAGATTATACCAGACCTGAAGCCAAACTGAAAATGATGAAAGATGTACACAATAAACATGATAAAAGGATTACAAATGTGAAAGTTGGATGGTATCAGAGAATGGACAATAACGGGTGGAGATTGGTATCTGACAGGGTAAGGACACTTCTGTTTTAAAATAGTAATTCTGTCAGACAAGTTCCCTGTTTTTAAAATAAACATGTCTTATTTATTGGTTGAATTATTAAGTTGAGTTTCACTCAACAAACTCATTCATTTGAAGGTCATGGGTATCATTGCAAGTATATATATGGTATATATAGAAAGAAATAATCTTAAAACTAAAGATATTAACCTCTGGGATCACACAATAAATATTATTGTTATTTCTCATTTTCCATTGTGATAGCCTTAACTGATCATTGTAATATTAAAATTCAATGCTGCAATTTTATTTTTTCATAAATATCAGCAATAAGAATAAGTGCATGAATTAATATCACTGAATGGAAACTATTCTGAAAAATTTGTTGTTTGCAAATGTGCAGTGTCAAGCAGTTTTTCAATCAAAGATGTTAATTCATGTATCAGGTCATTCGTAGCGTCCATATATGGTGCAGATGATCTTGAGATTGAACTTTCAACAACATGGCAGCTCATACGTACTTTGCAATCTTTTTTTGAAATTCACAAATTAAATGAATATATTAAATAATTAGCTTTCGAAAGTAAAGTGAGTGCACAAATTAATAAAGATTGTGAATTAATTGAGTTTTTACCGTACATTAAGATGTCCAATACAAGAACTGTTATGTTCATTGCAGTTATTACAGAGAATTGATTCAGACCCAATAACATGGGAAAGCTCACACAGAAAAATCAACTTCCATCATGATAAATTGAAAAGACGACAAGATGTTGAGAAAAAAAGGAAACGAAGAAAAGTTGATTGGATGAAGAAGATGTAAGTAATGGCTTCCCTATCATTATTGTGATGTAAATGTATAAAGTTTTGTCATTACTTTGTGTGACTTTCTAGCCAGTATGAACTGAATCTAGCTTATCTCTCATTGAACATCACATAAAATCAAACAAAGCACTATATTTCTTTTTCTTTTGCAAACTTCACAATAATCTACTAACAATTATGTGATAGCGATTTTTCAAATCATTCTTTCTTCTCTCTGAAGGTATCGAGAAGGGATGCTAAAAGCCAAAAGTGATGACAAAGAGACCATTTCCCTGATAGAGGGCGCTGCACAGGGAATGGTAGAAACTATTGAAGCTGAGGGACCAGATGTTATTGAAGAATGGGAAGTTGATGAGTTGCTGGATTGGACCAATGCATTAAATTTTGATGAGTATGTGTTGTTAACTTTCTGCTATAATTCTTATTTTTAGATTGTATTCAGTAATCACACCACTTTTACTATATTGAGTATCTGATAGTATTATCAAATGCAGAGTGACAATATTTACACTATATTTATTTTTTAGTTATCTAACAGCATGGAAGGAAGTTGCAACGAGTGCTAACTCTGAAGCTACTGCTGGTAAGTATTGTTTTATCACTTCATAATCACACATCACACACACCCACAATAAATCAAACCTTCCAGATGGTCATTCATTGTATTGATGCTACTATCAAGCTGTGCAGCACATTAAGTGGAATGTCATCTAATGATCTCAATAGACAACAATTTGGCAAGTGTTTTGCTTAACATTAGAAAGATTTGAAAATAGATCACTGAGTTTTAATTAGAATTTTATATAATCACCATGGTGTTAAGGTAAAATAGAAATTGGTGAAACATGTTCTTGGCAGCAGACATCGAGGCATTTTCACTACCTGGCAACCACAAACAGTTGAAAACTGGGTGAGTTGTTGAGACTCTCCTGAACTGTTTAACAAGGTTACCCCTACATGTGCAACATATATAAATTTGGTTGCTCAGAATTGTCTCATAGCTGAGTTTGTGCGGTTTTCTTTACTATTATCTTTTTGCACTGGCCCTTCGACTGGCATACCACAGCAGCTCACGCAGAGCCAATAGAATTACATGGTACAGTGGTGCTGTATTAGCCACATAGAATGTTCTGTGATGTAGCTCCCCAAGATTTAGTTTTGTCTTTAAAAAAAGATCTGTGGTAAGCAATCCTAATTTGTTTACACAAATGTAGATTTTTTCAAAATGAATTTGTGTGCAGTGTACACATTATACATTGCTGTGATTCACAAATTAAGTTCTAGAGTAAAATGCAGATAATATGGCTAATCAACTGACAACGCAGAATTGACATACTGGTATAACTTGATCAGAACTAACATTGATGGTCAGTTGTTGTATGACTATTAAATGTGTTTAACTTTACTTGTTTGTTTACTTGTTTGTTTACAGAGGAGGCGCTGACACTTGCAACAAATAAACGTGATCCTTTTCAAATCACGATAACAGCTGGTAGGACACCACCTATTGCACCATCTCCATCAAGGGCTACAACTATTCCATCCGCTGCACATGTTAGTAGACCATCTCCTGTATCACAATTATCAACTAGGTAACTGTAAGGATAGGTGTGTCACATCAGTACCAATACATCAATGGTAATAATGTATATACAGCTCTTCAAGGACAATATTCTCAATCACATGCGTCACAGCAAAACTAGTATAATAGATGAGGATGCTTGGTCTCAGTCAGCTATCTATCTCCGAAGGTGTCTTTTGTTGCAATAAACTTTCCATCCTGTCATATCACAGATTGCATTTATAACAAACCTAATGTGTTGTAATATTTTGTAACACTCATAATTTTATTTGAACAAAGATTTTTTTTTATTTTTGAAATGATGTTGTGAATGAATTTTATTATGCAGATTGTGTGATTTTATTAAATAAGTAAAGCAAACTTTGTCTGCTTTTATTTGGTGTTTGTAAGCAATTGATTGACAAATGACGTGTCTCTTCTGAATTTATTGTCCGCCTGCATGGTGTTGTTCCGTTCAGATATTTCTCCCTCTACAACCAATTAAACCAAATTCAAGATGCTCTGAATTATGAAAAAGGATTTTTTACAAGCATAAATGTATAAATTTGATAATAAAACACTCAATAATAAATTACGAATGCATCCATTTAGGATACCATATTTGCTCTATTAGTAGTGCATATACTTACATAAATGACAGAGGTGTGTCTATGATCAAAATAATTTAATAATTCAGTATAATATAATATTTTATCTAGGCTTTTAAAAGAACAAATGCAGAAGTCATTGTTATAGGTTTTCAACACTACAAGTATTTGGAGAGTGTTTCCATGCACTATAAATTAATTATAACAAAATATTGACTTACAAAAAATCTGGGACACAAGTGTTAATTATGCAAATTAATAAATATCTTTTATTGTTGGCTTCTCATCACAACTTTCATGGAAAACTGCATCAAAAACCTTTACTCTAATTTTAGACAATTCGGTTTTATTGTTTTAGAAAGTTGTTAGCTTTTTATAGTGCATACAAATAGTGGGAATGACCTTTAGTATTAATTTATAAAAAAATATCAGAATAGCAAAATTGATTTCTGTTGCACATTAAAATGTTGTGTGCCGCAGATACTTGAAATGATTTTGTTCTCATTGGTCAATCAATACCACGTGGAATGAATTTATCAGACATTAACCCAGCAGTGTCTTCTACAGAAGATCAAAACAAAATAGTACGTGAATTAACAAGATTCAATGTTTGCCACATTTGAATGGATTGCCTAAACCAACCATGTCTCTTTAAATTTATGAAAATGCAGGTCATGTTCATCTGGACATGAATATTCAGTGTTTTCTGACTTGCTAAACAAAACATTCAATTTCTTTCGTTTATTATTCCAGATACCATATATAAGTTACACATTGCTCTTTATTGTTTATCTCTTCATATGCTTCATTTCATACTCTATATATATTTCAAATAACGCCAGCTAACACCAAATTTGATGAAAAATGTAATTTTGAGCAAAATCACCTGTTATTCATAAACTGAGATATCTAGAATTCTGGTTGTATATAATGCAGTATTAGCTCTATTACATTGTTACTTAGCTTTTCTCCATTCATATGTAGGGCACTGTGTATGAACAGTGAGCATTGAACCAAGTTGAACACTGGACTCAACGAGCGCCCTCAACGGTCAATATATTTTGAAAATGCGTCCGTGATGTGATGTGATCGGCACTCAACAGAAACATTTGAAGCTCATACATAATTTGTTAGTAGAAAACAAGTATTGGTGTGTTCACAGATTAGTAATCTTGAATTTAAAAAGTTTAAATTTGCTGGCTTTGGTATAAAGGTGTATCCAATATTCTGTCTTAGCCGGTTTAGGGGTCAATTAGCTTGTGATAAATTACTTACTAAGCGTGTAACTGCAATATTTGAAAACAAGCACACAGTCTTTTAAAGGGTGGATTGTTATCTCTGTTTGATTCGAGCACTGGTGGCGCTGTATCAAATACGTCAAAGACAATCAACTAAATATTACGTATGCCATCTGATCTTATTTACATCTTGATAATTGTTCTCCGGTGGCGCTTCCAAAATCGTGCATAGAGGTAACATGAATCCTTAAGCGTGTTCCACATCATATTAGTTATCTTCAAAACCGTGATGTTTAGTTTTTTTTTTATTAATTAACACACCTGCGTCAGAATGGGGTTAACAATTCGGATGTTTTTTTTTTTTTATTAAGAAACGTCTGTCCACTGAACTAAGTCAGCAAATTATACGCTAACACCATAAATGCCCAAAAATGCACCAACAAATTGATTTTGAACAGTTACAGCAATTTAAAAATATCATAAAACATTTCAAGAATGAACTTCCATGCGAAACGAATCAATTTGAAGTAATTATCTTTTTAGCTCCATGGTCTACTCTAAGTAGCGTCAGACCGCAATCGAAATAGTTTGCTTACTGTTTGTGGGCATGTTAGTTAATAATTAATGTACACTGGTGTAGTTAAAAAGTCAGAATACACCTACACATATGATTGGGTGCGGCTGTTAATTATTAACAGACAAATTATAAATACATGTTAATTATTAACAGACAAATTATAAATACATGTACGTTACACTGTAGGCCGCCATATTCAACGAATTTACATAACGGAGGAAAAAGACCAACAAACATGGCGGTACTCGGCAAAACAGGAAACTTATTTTTATTCTGTGCTACCGTCACAGTTTTAGGCAAG